GCCCCCTCCTGTAATAAAGACCGGTCACTGCAGCTCTCTCTCTCCTTGTGCAGGGTGACTGGTCTTGTCACCGCCCCCTTCTGTAATTTCCTGTAGTGGGTGGGGCCTGATGGCCCCTCCTACAGCTCTGTTCTCTGCACAGGCTATTTACAGTCCAGTGATGATGTCGCTGCTACCTTTACAAATGTAATATTCTGGGTTTGCAAAGTCCTCTGGTGCACACAGAGTGAATTTATATACTTAGTGATTATTGAGAAATACTGTATATATAAACAAGGTTTTTGTCCATGGATTTCAGCTCTAAAGAATTACTCCAGCCAAAAGGCTAAATGATGCACAAATATAGGGTTTATGTTTTAAAAATCTCGGAGTTTAAGTCGGGAGAAATCTCACCTCTGACCTTTGTCACCGCTATAAGTGTCCCCATCAGGAGATTTCCCCTCTACTCCTACGTCATTGACACTCATTAAACTCTGGATTCTCCTTTGCTTTCTGATCTGATATCAACGATCATCAGGACAAATAATAAGGGGGGGGGAAATCCTCTATGAGGACACAGACAGCAATAACAACCCCCACAGAGGTCCTAACCCTTCCCCCACACCATGAACATCTTAATATCTCTTATTTCTTGTCAGTTTTCTTCCTACACTTGGTCAGTGGTTAGGAGATTGCCAGTACCGGGAAGCGTCTCCTCGGTTGTGTTATGAGATTACTTTCTCCATCATCTATGGATGTCGGCAGCTCCGCACATTTCCCCCACACAGAATCATCTCCAGTCTGACTTTTATATTTCCCTTTCATCTCCGCACAGCTAAAGCGTCCTCTGTCTGTGGAATAGTCCAGACTGTCTCATAAGCTCAGTTTAAATGCAGCTTCCAGCATCATGAACTTCTCAGCCAGATGCGGTCATAGCATCCAATGTCCACAAATCGGACTTTGTGTGACGCCTTTTCATGGCTTTATACATCAGCTGCAGACATTTCCCTTTCTGATTAATAGAATATAAAGAGTTGTAACCAGCGGGTGTGCCACACACTCCAAACAAACTTCATGGAAGAACACAGGATGCGTGTAGTATGTCCGGTCCTTCTGGCCAAATACGGCTGCCCACTCACACTTCCCGGCAACTAGTTTATAAACATTGATCAGAGGGAGATAGAGAGATACAAAGTAACATTGTTTATAAACATTGATCAGAGGGGAGATAGAGAGATACAAAGTAACATTGTTTATAAACATTGATCAGAGGGAGATAGAGAGATACAAAGTAACATTGTTTATAAACATTGATCAGAGGGAGATAGAGAGATACAAAGTAACATTGTATATAAACATTGATCAGAGGGAGATAGAGAGATACAAAGTAACATTGTATATAAACATTGATCAGAGGGGAGATAGAGAGATACAAAGTAACATTGTCTATAAACATTGATCAGAGGGGGAGATGGAGAGATACAAAGTAACATTGTTTATAAACATTGATCAGAGGGAGATAGAGAGATACTAAGTAACATTGTTACTTTTGTATGTCCTCTTTTTCATTCATATGAGATCAAAAGAATGAGCTTTGATCTGTGTATGATGCTATACAAAGCAATCTGACATATAAAAAAAAAACAACTTTCTTTAAATGTAAAAATCTATTTAACCCCTTTTAAAACTTTTTTACCCCAATCAGCTCGAATGAACTCCTTCTTCCCATTCTTTCTATAACTATTATTTTTCTGCCGATTTTCTATTTCAATTTTTCAAACTCTTTTGTTTTTATTAGTTTTGTTTATTTATTTAAAAGAAACCACGCAATTGAAAAAAGCAAAAACATTTTTGTGTCATTTGTAAATAATGCTTTTTGCCAGAAATCGTAATTTTAGTGTAATTTTATATATAAAAAGTTATTTTTAGTATCAGGGATGAATGTAGGGCTGCAACAACTAATCGACATAATCGATTATAATCGATTATTGAAAAAGTTGTCAACTTTTTCAATCATTGATTAATCGGCTTCCGATTGGTTGGCCCTGTTCACGGCTCCACACACGCTGCGCGCCACACCTCCTCACGCTCGCCGCTGCCAGATCCACCCACCCGCATCCATGCTCCACACGCCGCCCCTCCTCCCCGCCTCACGCTCACCGCCCGCCCAAATCCACGATCGGCACAGGGACGCGGGGAGAAGAACTAAGGAGGAGGAGGTGTGGGCGGATGACAGCCGCCGACAGACAGTCCCGATCTCAGAAGCAAGTTGCTGGAAGACTGCTCAGGGAAGCCTGCACT